ATATAAATTAATTTATAATGTTTTTCAATGCTTGGTCCAACAATATCTAACAACTGATTAAACATTTCTATGGACATTCTAGAATAATTGTAGAACATCTCGTAATCTTCAAATTCTATTTCTTTAATCAGATTGTCATCCTGTAATAATCTTCGTCTTTCTGTGAATATCGGACGCATCTACATTCTATGATGAATCTTTTCCTGTTGGTATACCATCAGTTTCCATATTCCAAACAATTTTAAAATATTATATCTAATTTTCTGTTGTTGAGATTGTTTCATCTTCTTCCACTTTTGCCATAGCTTCCATATTATTAATAACAACAAATCAGAGTCCATAATGACTTCTGAATATATTCTCACAGATTAGGTTCATTTACTTGACTTGTTCGTACACATACTCGTACATAAAATCTCGGTTCCTCATGAAGCGTACTTTTCCAGCTACGCAGATTACAAAAATCAATCACAAATTAGTTTAGCATTTCTGATAGAGAGTACAACAGAAATCCTAATCAGCAATTGGTTATATTAATTACGCATTTCTCGAAATTCCGCGAAATATGCTCTATGTGAAAGAACGCTTTCAGAATGACGTAATGTGTTTTAGAATACTAGAATATGCAAATTACGCTTATGCAAGTTACGCCGCATGACGACATCCTTACTTAATTATATTTTCTAAATGTATTTACATCTATAGTTTTCTCATAAACACAAAATGGCGATTTTGATATATCAATCGTCAATGATGCTTCTCTTTATATAAAATTCTATTCTACACATATGCGACATATATTCTACATATTTAAATTTTCGCATGCTTGACATAATTCTATCTCTTCAATAGGATTTATTTTAAGTTTTATCTTTTCTTCAATTATTAGTTAATTAGAATAATTTGTTGCTATATTTATTATCAAAAGCGTGATGTAAAGATTACAATATTTAAATATTTAAATAGTAGATATCTGAAATTAATTTTCACACGCGCGTGTATTCCAATTATCTTTAAGTTAGACTTGTAACTGAAATAATCAAATTGCTTTCATAATTGTCTATTATTAATCTTATATATCATATTAATCTTATTTAATTAATATTGTCCGTAAATCTTTTAAAAATTTCGTTTTTATGTTTCTTTTCTGCAGATAAAAATAGAAAAACATTTTAGAATTTTTATTATTAGAATTTTTATTATATATTATAATAAGTGAATGTATATGTATACGTAATAAATTTTTAGAAAGTTTACTTATTATATATATTACGAAAATATGTGATGACCATGATTTCATTTATATTTCATTTATATTTACGATTATTTTGTGAATATTTAAAATGTGCGAATT